CTCGCTCTGCAGTACGACTCGTGTGCGTCTTCACTTCCGGAGGATTGGCTTCCAGTCCATCACACCGAGTCCCAAGAGCATCTGGCACAGTTAGGGAAACTCTGCTCACCAGAAAAACAGGAACATAACTTTCACAGCACCTGTTAAACTGATGCCTACATGTTCTTTACCTTAGTGTGTAGTTCAACTCAACATTTTGAGAACTTTTTGAAAAAATTTCAAGTGTTCACAGTAGAAGCATCACTTTACAAACTGTGGTCCTGCTACTTAAAAGAGTAACTTAGCATCAGTATGCACAAGTGCAATGGAAAACTTGTAGAAGTGTATGGAAATGACCGGAGAGTTTTCTGTTCTAGGAATTAAATCACCTAAATGTTCACATATTTGATGTAAAATTATTTGTAAAATGTGTCCAAAACTAATAGATTCCACTGTTGAAATTATTGGTGATTTTTAATTATTTGATCTTTAAAATACATTACTCTTAATTTTAATTTTTTTGGCGAGGGCAGGTTCAGCCCACCCTGGGGTCAGGCCTGGCGTGGCGTGTGGTGCCGGGGATCCAACCGTGGTCCCTGTGCTTTGCCTAAGCTTGCCTAAGCAGGTGCTTTAGACTACTGGGCTATCTTGCTGGCCCCATTACTCTCAATTTTAAATGGGATTTAAAGAACAAAATAATGTCCTTAAAGATAAATATATTTGTATTTTCATCTTCAATCATACACTTACTTGGTAGTAGACTTACAGAACACCAGAAAAATCATAAATTTAACCTAAGAAGGAACTTCTGCACATTAAGATAATAGGACAAGAATGAAACTGGGGAAAGGGATGTGGATGCACAGGGGAAGTCTGGGAAGGGTCAGGGACTAAAGGGAAGATCCAGGCTGGTCAGGTACACAGACCCGTCCCTGAGATGGCTATAAATGCCGCGCAGGGGCTGCCAACACGCACCGATAAAGCACAAACTCTGACACGAAGCCTGTTAGCCAGGAGAGCTGGAGACTGCTAAGGCTCGTAAAAGACACCGCACCCTCCCAGGGTGATTTTTGCCTTTCTGCCTGGAGACGCACAAGCCACACAGTGGACTCCCAGGCCAGCTCTGCGCCAGGCACCCAGTAGCCCCAGGGCCTTTGCTCCCTCACAGACCCGGGAAGTACGTGATCAACCTCAGCCGGGCCATCCGAGGCTCCCTGGACGCCAGCTGCACCCAGGTGGGAAGGCTCCTGCCAACAAAGTGGCCACCTCGGGCGCTTACAGAGCCTGGCTGACAGGGCTGACTGCCTTGCCTCTGGCCCTACACCCACCTGGACACTGTGTCCTCCCTCCCGCTGCGCCCTTCAAAGCCACCTGTGGCTTTGATCCCTCTGCCTCATCCACCCTTCATAGTTTCCTGCCCATCAGGAGATCCATTTCTTCCTCCTTCCCAGGCCCTGAGGGGCAGGGGTGGGTGGGGAGGGCACGTTCAGCCAGTCCTCCATCCACCTGCCTTCCACACGGCCACTCCTAACCTCTCCTCCCTGTCCATCCACACAGGCAGCAGTCACTGCAGCCCCGCAGCCCGACCCTGAGATCACCATTGTTTTTGAAGTTACAGGAAATGACCTGACTGCTTTTAAGAAATTCATTAATAGTAACAGCAAAATAAAAGGCAATGTGTCCCAATGAAAACAGACCAGGTTGATTAGCACAGTATCTGCCCCTTTCTTGTTGTTATTGTTATTGTTGTTGTTGCAAAACTGGGAATCAAAACCAGGTCCTTGCAATTTCCATGCAGGCGCTTAGACTGCTGAGCTATCTCCCCAACCCTTTGCCTGCCCCTTTCTTCATAGATCAGATTCTCCAGAGCAAGCTGAATAGCAGCCACTGTACTACTGAGGACGGAAGATCTGGGAACTGGTGCTAGGACATAAAAGCAGAGGATAGTCCTGTGGTGGACAGGAGCCATGCTCGGAGGACCGATAAACGGCTCTGTGTGGTCTCAGGGCTATGGAGGGCTCTGTGCTGAGCATCAGGCCTGTGCTTCCAAGCTCTCAGGAAAGCGAGGTCACGCACAGGATCCGTTCTGCCCCCTCTGCTTCCTTGGGCTCCTCAGTCTTGTCCTGAGTGCTTTGTTCTCAGCTGCTGGAATGACATTGCCTACTCCCTTCCATCCAAGGCAAATGTCACAGTCGGTTACTGCTCCTCTTTTGCTCTTAAGTAAAATAAGAGCAAAAAGTTAAAGAATTCCAGTAATACTTGTGTTGATGATGCTTTACTTAACTCCAGGTAAGAACAACAGATAAAATTGGCCTTTTAGCCCAAAGCTACTGTGACAATCCATCAGTGAGTCTGTTGGTAGCAACAAGGAATTCATGAGTTGGTACACATGTGCACGCCCTCCCTGGTGAGCCAAATGGATGTATGTCCTAAGGCCAGGCTCAGACATCTCCCAAGACAAAAAGCACAGTGCAGGGGCTCGGCCTCCTCCTGTAATGAATTCTGTGGAGCCCGGCACTGGAAGTCTGTGAGGCAAGCAGTAGGAATTTGGTGTGCAGCTATGGGGGAAGGAGAAACAGTTGCCTCAGTCTGCTGGTCAGACTTTATTCAGAGGCATGAATGATATTTCAAGCTCTTCTCTAACTATAAATAACGATCACGTTCCTGTGTGGATCCCGTGCATGCACAGAACACGTCTTCACCCCTCTTCCTCCCTCCCTCCCCTCTCTTCTCCCACTCTGTTGGTCTCCTGATCCCTGCCCTTCCGGGAAAGGTTCCCCCCCCCACCTCCTGTGATCTACCTTTTATTTTGCTCTTTACTTATAATTTGTGCTCCTCATCTATGAAAACCCTACACACTGCTTGCAAGGCCCAGGGTACCTTTTCTCTCTCCGTTATACTGTTTTGTCCACGCCTGAGTCTAATGTACATCAGACCTGCTGATTACCTGTGTTCTTGGAAGCACTGAGCTGTGGTTCTGTTCAGCCCTGTAATTACATGAACCCAAGAACCTATGACCACATGTTAATGGGACTAGTCAAGGAGCCTGATGCTCACGTTTCTTATCTTGGGATCGACGAACCTTATTCCCAGAACTATTTATGCAGTTCTTCCTCGGGAGTTGCTTTCTGAGTTGGTGACGTAGAAATAGATTTAAGACTGGAGGAGTTGCTGGATGACAAAACTTAGCACTATGAACTTAGTTCCCGTAAATGAGTTGATTTTCCTAAATAACTCTTAAAATTTCCAACGTTACAGAAAATACAAAAACTTTGACCTCATAATTAATTTACTAGTGGCTGTGAGACAGAAGAATACACAGCCAGCCTCCGTCTTCATCCTTTTCTAGGGCTGAGCATGTAACTCAGTAGTAGAGCCCCTGTCTCACATATGCAAGACCCTGGCTTCGATCCTGAGCGCCAAAACAACCTTAACAACAACAAAACAAAGCAAAATCACTTCTCCAAATAAGGTGACTATAGGGAAAGAATGAATATGAAAGTGTAAAACACATTTTATTGTCTAATTTGCAAAGATAACTTTGAAAAAATTACTCACTTTGTAACTTACATGCTAGTGTTTTTGTGAAACAAGAATTCTTGTAACTTACACTTTGCCGGTGCTCAGAGCCTCTCCATGGCTAGACGGCTGCATTGTTGGTCCTGGCAGGGCCTGGGGCCCTGCCTGATGTCTCTTTTATGGAACACATTTTCCACCTGAGACACAAGGTTAAATACATTTGCTTGGGACTGGTTAAATAAGGTGGAAGATAACCTACAACAAGTATCACAATGGTAATGCAAAAAATAAGATTTTCATGTACTCACTTAAAAAGTTCTCAAAGATATATGCTACATAAAGTCTGTTAATATATATAAAACAAATTCATCAACATGCTTGTAAATGAGCGAAAACCCCGGAAGGATCAATAAGAAACTACTGCCCATGGTCCCAGAGTATTGGAGAAGGGTATGTAGCCATTGCTTTCCACCTTCACTTTTTAGTAACAGGCTTTTAAGAGAAATAAGCACAATCTTCAGATTAAAGTCAAGTGGAGAGAATACGTAACCAGCAGCAGGGTGTCTGATACGGAACCTGCTATGCAATCCAGTGGAAGAAATCCCTCCTTATGAGCTCGTTCTTCTCCCTGCGGGCACTCGGGGCTGCACAGCAGGAGATCTGCTCTCTAAACCCGGGGGCCTCCCAGGGCTCAGCGGGCACAAGAGGGCACGGACCCTGGTTCTGGGGACACCATGTCCTCCACAAGACGACCACCTCCCCAGCCAAGGAGAGCTTCGTCAGCCCAGAGGAGCATTTGACCACCTTCCCCAAAGATGACAGCCTTCTGGCTTACAGTCAACAGATGGCTTTAACAAGGTTTGGACTAATCTGGGGCGCTGTGCCTGATCTCGCTCCTACCCTCGGGGCAGTTGCGGGGGCCATTGCTGCGGCTGTGCTTTTTGGTTTGCACTACTGGGTGGCAATGTGCTTTTGTTCCACGGCTGCCATAATGTGCCATTTCACGTGGCTTCTGTGGACTTGGATGAACAATGCATTGAGGAACATTCTGGGCCTTTGTTTCTGCTGCAGACATGTGACAGAGTGTGTCCTGGGCCACCGCCTCAGTGTGTAGTTCAGCACAGGACGTGCTGCCCATCGGCAAGGTCTCCAAAGACAGGGAGCACATAAGTCTTTTACTGCTCCATCTCCATCGCCTGCGTCACACTTGACAGCAAGTGGCCATCTCTAGCATTGGCTCCCTCTCCCTCTCCCTCTCCTCCCTCGCCTCCCTCTCCTCTTCCTTCTCCCTCTCCTTCTCCGTCTCCCTTCCGTGCTCCACCTATCAACTGTTGATCAACCCTGTTTCCAGGGATCAGCAAAATGCCCGTCTATTTTTAGTCCAAAGGAGAGAATACCCCGTGCCTTCTGCCCACAGCCCTGTTCAGGAGAGCACATAAATACGTTCATTCTCAAAACCCTATAAAGCTCTCAGCTCTTCCATCCTCACCCCACTCCACCTCACCTTTCCCCAGAGTTGCTCCCCGCACGGAAGGGCAGGGTGGTCAGGGGGCCGGGAAAGCATGAGGGGCGTCTTTCTTTTCGTGGTTTGCTTCTGTTTGGTCCGAAGGAACACAGGTAAGTGTCCCCTGGTGCTCTGGTGATAACAGGGCTGCAGGAAGCCACGGGCACACACCTGCGTGGGAACAGAGTGGGTGTCCCTGTGTCGGAGGGGGCTGCAGGTGGACCCTGCAGAGCCCAGCCCTGGACCACTTTGACCTCTTTTAGAAATACAAATTTAAAGCCAAAGAAGGGTTATAGCGGAAGGCAAAATAACCTCTTTACTCTGACACAGACAGGAAGTGCTCCGAGCAGTCCTAGAGAAATTTTGACCAAACTGCAATCCTACAAGCGTCAGAGCCCCGGAAGGGAAGAAGAGATCCTCCGCTGCAGCCCCAGGGGCCGCAGATACAAAACCAGAGTGGAAGCTGGGCATGGTGGAGCACACCTGTAATCCCCACACTCCAGAGGCTGAGGCAGGAGAATCTCTGTGGGGTTCGAGGCCAGCCTGAGCTACAGAGTGAATTCAAGGCCAGCCTGAACTGCATAGTGAAGACCTTTCTCAAAAAGAAAAAAAAAGAATGAGGTGCAGAGAAAGTGTTAATTTATTGTATGAATACATACAGTCACAGAGGTCACATCTACAGTAATGTCCCTCCAGATTTTATAGGCAGCCTAGGAAAAATGAAGTCATGGCTTTTTAAATGTATTGCCCAAGGAGAGATGGTGAGTTATTGATAAAACTAGACTCCAGACCCCAAGTCTTTGTCAAAGGGGGAATCCTCCTCGTCTTCACTGCTGCCCTCTCCGGGCTGCTACCGTAACCCAGGACCACAGGGTAATCTCTGTGTGGATGTTGAAGCAGATATTATGAGGAATATTTTTATACTCAGACAAGACCAACATTATGTAGTTGTTTGAGGTCCTGGAGGTTAAATGCGAGGTCTGCACACTGAGCTGTTCTCTGTTTCCTCTTTTGAGACAGGGTCTTTCTTCAAGTCACCCAGGCTGGGCTCAAACTTGCAACCTTCCTGCCTCGGTCTCCTAGAGTGCTAGGATTACAGGCATAAGACAGTACCCTGGCCATTGTTGTTTTTATTAATGAGATAATTAGCATTTGCAGACATAAGAAAGAACTTCCTTACAATTATTTCCTTCCTTATAGGAAGCTGAGTGACTTATAAGCCCCAAAGTCCTGGTTTTATCTCCTTCCCAGTATTGTAGAAATAAAACTACTGACCTATGTCTGGCTGAATAAGCCTGGAGGAGGAGCCTTTTCTCGGGGCCCACTGTGAGCCCACAGTGCAGAGCTACACATCATTGCTTCTACTTTGAGACTTAGAAGCCAAAGCTCAGTGGCTGGGACTCATTGAAAGACAGGAAGTTCTGTAAGAACATGCCAAACCCAGGGGCTAGGATGTAGCTCAGCGGAACAGCACCTGCCTGGCAAGCATGAGGGAATGAATTTGATTCCTGCTACAAAAAAAAAAAAAAAAGAATGTGGCCAGCCAGTGGTGTTGGTCTGGGTTGTCCTGTACTGTCTTCCCAGTGTGAACTCAATCTGCATCCTGTCTGTTGAATGCGCAGGGGATATCCCACCAGGAATTAGAAACACAATCTGCCTCATGCAACATGGGAAATGTAGACTGTTTTTCTGCCATTCTGGTGAGAAAAGAAGTGACATTTGCTCTGATCCTTGGAATAAGTGCTGTGTGCCAAATATTAAGGAAGAAGAAAGAGAGACACCTCCGGATGATGGCAGCTCTGGAGCCTAAATCTGGGCTCCCGGATGGCAGAGATCTGGAAGCATCCCAAAGGCTCAGAAGAGTCGAGGCTGGTAGTAGGTGATCAATAAATATCTGTTCAATAAATCTACCACCAAAGAGGAGGGTCTGATGAAAGAATTTTCTTGAGAACCTCCTTTCTTTACCTTTAAAAAAAAAAGAGAGAGAACTTTTAGGTTTGTAATATTCCAGTTTTTCTCTACTTCTTTCCTTATTAAGGTAATATCTCTTACCTAACCAGAGGCACAGGTAGAATAGAAACCGAGCTCCAGTTCTTGCCTCTGGAGGGACAGGAACACGGCACACCTACTGGCCCAGTTCCCGCTGTTGTCCTCGGATTACTCACTCACTGTAGCTCTCCCAAGTCATAATACTGATTCTACTGAAAAAGAATGTTGTTCTTTTCAAAAGTTTATTTTTATGTTATCTAAACCAACTGATGTGACAATCTCATGAGCAAGAATTAAGGCAAAAGCACTTCATTTTAGGGATGGAAGGAAAATGAATTCCGTAAGGATAAGCAAACTGCCCCAAGTCACCAATGTCCCCAATAGACTCTTGGTTTGCTGATCAATCCAATGTGCGTCTACATTTCCTCTAAAGCCCAGGTGCTGAGGAGGTAGAGCGAGACCTTGTTTGGGAAGACTCTAAAAAATTTCCCTGGTCTTTGCAGTTTGGATTTTTTTTTTTTTTGGTTTTGCTCAGATTTTTTATCCACCCCTGCCTTTTAGCCAATCAAGAGCAGTTGAGGTATACAAAAGTAATTAAAATAAATGTGTGCAAAGTCCCGAGTTTGATCCCTGGTACCATGAAATAAATGAAATAAAATAAATCATAGATAGAAGGCCATGTGATGAGATTTCTCCAGGCTAAGAAACTGTTTAACATGAGGTCCTATTTCCATACTTCTGTTCACTGCCTCAATCATTTGTCTGTGAGTCAGTGACTCTACTACAAAAGTCACCTAGAGAAAACAGAATCTGGGCGTTCCTTGCAAGTGGCTGTAACTATTGGACATAAGACCTTTGGCCTCTTCCCAGGCTCCTCTAGCTGGGGGTGGGGGCAGCAGCCAGGGCCTGTGCGGCGCGGCGCTTCCCTCGGGCACAGGCAGCTGTACCGAACCCTCTTCTCTTCTCTGCTCTTCTGCATGTGTGTTTGCGTGTGTTACCTGTTCCCCGCCCGATGCCCCGTGTGTTGGGAAGATGCTGGCCCCGGACTAGGTTCTGTTCCCAAGTCACAGCCAGCAGCCCCTGCCCTGGCCCTCGTGGTCCTGAGATTAAGTGAGAGGGGTGTGGCAGTTCCCAGAGCTCAGCCTAGGCGCAGTCACATCTTTGTGCTGGAGGCCTCTCCGTGGAGCAAAGCGACGAGGCCCCACCGCGCCCAGAAGGGCCTGGAAGGGAAGCGCAGAGCCCAGGTCCAGCCCCCAGGGATTATTACTGACCACCCAGGCTCTTCTGCTGCCGCTGAACTATCCAAGGGGGCCGTGCGTGTGCGTAAAAAGGAGGGAAGATACGTTCAGGCCCAGCGAGGAGGACACAGAGGACTCTGTGCCTCAAGTCACCATTTCTTTACAGAAGGGTGAGG